CATTCTCTCTCTCTTTTTAAAATTAATTAACTTTTTTATTTTTATTTTTTATTGGCAAATCAGATTTACAGAGAGAAGGAGATACAGAGAGAAAGATCTTCCATCTACTGCTTCACTCCCCAAATAGCTGCAACAGTTAGAGCTGAGCCAATCTGAAGCCAGAAGCTTCTTCCGAGTCTCCCACGCGGGTGCAGGGTCCCAAAGCTTTGGACCGTCCTTGGCTGCTTTCCCAGGCCACAAGCAGGGAGCTGGATGGGAACTGGAGCAGCTGGGACACAAACTGGTGGCCATATGGGATCCTGCCATATGCAAGGCAAAGATTTAGCCACTAGGCTACTGCTCTGAACCCCATTCTCTCCTTCTGAAGAACAAAGTCATCTACCAAAGCTATATGAATTAGAAAACAAGCATATTTGCTCTTTAAAAAGAAAAATCTATTTATGACATTTTTTCTGTCAACATGAAGAATTCCTCTCAGATATAAATCACTTAAACAAAACCAAGTGAAATGATTGCCACACCAGTAGGAATTGCATTTTGGCTTGAGGGAGCAAATGGTAAGGGGCCAAGACATATTGGATTATAATCAGATGGCAGGTGGCTTTCCACGTCTTTAGCTTCTCTTCATCGCTTTGTGAGCTCTTCCGTCTTTTCCTTCATCAGCTTCTGAGCCTCACTTAGCCTCGCCACGCACAAATGACTTGAAGGCACCGTGTCTTGGGCAAACAGTTGTTTTGGTATTTCTGAGACTTCATAGCAGGATCACAACTCCCACCCCACGCCACCATTCCTCAAATCAAATGTCACATGGTTAGGCCAAAGTTAGAGGTGCACATACAGTTTTAGGACTTGGCATATTGAGACATGATAGTCACATGTTTCAGAAAAGGGCATCTTTTGCTCTTTGTTCTTTGGGGTCTATACCTAGTTCCATTGTTTCCTCTTTCACAGAATATTTTCGCAGTTGGGCATATCTCCAGCATCTGCTTCTCCTCAGTTACAATTTTCATTCAAATAAAATAACTCTAGGGTTGATCTCTTTGGACAGGTTTTGTTTGGCCTCCACCTATGAACTTCACACCAGGGCGCGCTGAAGGTTAACAGCTTTATTTCTGGAATTCTCTTGGATTCTTTTTGGAGAAAAGTGCCAAAGAACATAAGCAGGGCTCAAACGTATCTGGCCTTGCAATTCCTCTGGGGAAGGTTCCATGTAGCTGCTGCACCTTCTGCCAACTCCCTTCTGTGCTCCCTGATCCCAGCTTCTCCACCAGCCCACGTGGGAATGCATATCTTTCGCGCGTGTGGAAAGGAACCTTTGGCTTAAGGCAAGAACTGGAATGCTCTGTCTCGTCCATTAACAAATGGAAAATTACTTCTCACTTTACTGACTTCTCTTTTCCCTTTAATGTCTTACAAGCATCTGAGTATTTCCAGCATTCATATCATTCCTTTTTTCCCTCTTATTTGAGACAGACAGAGAGAGAGACAGACAGACAGAAAGAGTTTATCTATTGGTGTACTTCTCAGATGTTCACAACATTTAAGGTTGGACCAAACCAGAGCCAGGAGCCAGGAATTCTATCCATGTGGGTAAGAGAGATCTACCTGCTTGAGCCATTAACTATGCCCACCCCACACCCCAGCTATGCATTAGTCAGAAACAGAGCTGCCACTCAAACCCACACACTCCAATATGGAATGACGCTTCTCAAGCACTATGGTAATCATTGAGTCAATCAGTCGTGTGTGTGTGTGTGTGTGTGTGTGTGTGTGTGTGTGTGCATTTCTCTCAGGCGATCCAGTTCATCCACAGGCAGGCCTTCCTCTCAAACTCACAGGACGGCTACAGAACTTTCATCTTCTCAGTTTCACTTGTTCAGCCAGTCATTTGCTAGTGAAGAGTTAGCCTTATGAAAATGCATTTCTTGTGGCTCTAGTCAGAAAAGCAAGCCTTGTAATGTGATGAATTCAGTACCTGGAAACCCCTGCAAAAGCATTATTGTGCTCTGTTGGTAACAAACCTTAATTTGTATTAAGCCTTTTCTGCCCTCAGGGAATTACCTTCAAGGGAGTCTGGATCCAGCCACAGCTCAGGTTGAATACTGGCTCTCCCTTGACTCTGATGGTGGTCCATTTCCTCTGAACCATCACTGATCAGCTAAGAAAGAACCTGTGACATAACTGGCCTGGGAGGTAGAAGGGAGGTTGGTTGAGGGAGGGAGTGTGTGTGTGAGCTTTCTTAAGTAGGGACACATTAGGAAGATGGCTACTTCTAGATGTTGTACAGATGTGAAGCTGTCAGCAACTGCAACGAACCTAATAGCTACAGGGGTAGTAGTTCAAGGACCAAGGACAAAAGTTTTTGTGCTACAGATGGCATGGCAGAAGCATGAAAGGAACCAAGGCTGTTAGGTGTCAAACGATTCTGTCTTAAAGCCATTCTACTTTATATGGTACAAGACAAGAAATTAGTCGTATGGATTAAACTACTTGATAGTGAGTTTTTTTTCTTAGAAGGGGATTTTTACCTCTTTTGTTGATGTTGATTTACACTGTTTGGTAGCACTGTTTTCACTTCTGTTCACTCAGTCAAAAGAATCCTAAATGATCTTTTTTCACAGACTCAACCTGGGTCCTGAGCCCTTTCCTGACCATTCATGATGGAAATGTGATGTGCCACCAGATTTGGTCCTGATGACTCAATCTCGTTCTGCACTGACCCCAGGGGCTGAGTGTGGAGAAGCAGAAGGAAGAACCACTGGGAAATGAGCTATGGTTTCCATGAAACAGTGATATAGATGCCATGAGACAAGCAGATTGGATTTCCGGCACTTAGTTCTTTCAAGTGAGTCTGTTACCACACAGTGACTCAAATCATGAATATAGCAGATTAGTCTCTGTTGAACCCTATTGCAATCAATATTTGGGCTTAAATTTTTTTTTGAAATTTCTGCATGTTTTATTATAAAATCAAGTAATTTCATGGCAAGAGTGGTAATTTTTCCAATAACCTGGTGAATACATCTTTGGAGGTGTTGTAGACGAGAGGTAGACCTGCTCTATTACTGACTTCTCTCAGTAACACAGGGAAATGGTCCTTGGTTAGGATCCCCCACCTCCAGCTTCAGGGCCTAAGTCATCCCACTTTCATAGCCAAGGGCAATGTGACTCAATGTTGATAAAGCACTAACTTACTGGATAAACCCAAAGTTTCTGGAAAACCCAGGCCACAAGCTATACAACATGTGACAGCTCTGAGCCTTCCTGGTTTTTTGATTGTCTTTTCTTGTGTGGCTTCTCATGTTCCACTGGTACCCTGGACCCAGGAGTCAGCCTGGTCCCTACAGCATAGGGACCCAGCCAGGTTGGGTCCTGTGCTCCAGCCTGCTACTGCGTGGAGTGCCATCCATCAGGAAAGCTTTGCAGTCAGCCATTTGATAGTGGAAGGCTTAGGCCACAAGACAATTTCCCCTGGATCTGGAAAGAAAAGCAGCCCTGGAGACCTGACATGCTCTGTGAAAATTAAGACTTAACTTTTGCCATTCCCAGCAAGTCTCTGCTGAACCCAATGCACGCCAATGTGTAGGAATTACTAATAATAATAATAAAGAAGAATTTCTGCATTTCCTCATGGGGGACATAAGTAACTTCACAGTGAGAGAATCTAATCAACATTCAGCTATTTATCTCCCTTTAAAGCAACTTCCTCTGCCAATGCAGAGACATGCATTTTCACTTAGCTATAATTAGTGTGAACATACTTGTTTTTTGTTGAAGAAAGGTTTTCTTTACCTTGGCATGCAGATTTATTTTCATAGGCGAAGAAAACACTGGGAAGGAGTAGGAAGCTTTGCTGGAGAGCTGGGAGGATTACAAGGGGTCAGACTAGCCCAGAGTGAAAGAATCCCCCATGCCTCCCAGCACCTCTCACCCCTTACTCTTTGGGACAATGAGACATACTGGGTGCATTTTTCACTAGGAGACATTTCCATATCTCCCTTGGCTATAAATCCAGTGTGCCAGGGATATGCCCCTGCCCTGGGTCTGAGCCGTTATCGAAGTGGCTCTTCTGGCACAGCTCAAGGCTTCCCTGGGCCAGCCCTCCCTACTATTCCCGGCATAAGTCCTGTCTTCTTCACTTTTCCTGAAGTGTACTCATACGCCAATGGTTTCCAATCTGCCAAAGCATAAAATTGCCAGCCCTTTTTCCAAAGTCAAGGAAGTAGCCTTCTTTAGATTTAATTAAAAACAGCAACTATTTGTACAGCTGTCCTGGGGTTCATGGCTCATAAAAGGGTTTAGCATCAACTTTGTTTCATTCCCTTGGGAATGTCACAGTAAACCCTCTGGGCAGTGCCAGGCTACGGGCTGCTGCTCCATGGTGTCACTTCGGGGCTAGGCTCGGGCTGCACACGTGGTACAGAGCCAGCCAGGGAAGGGTAGGACATGGAGGTACCCAAGTCTTTAGGGGGGAGGGCCAGGAAAAGAGCTACTGCCAGAAGTTTCAGAAAATCCCCAGGATTGGGAAGAGGAGGGAGGAGAGAGGCGGGCACCTGGTTGTTTTGAGGGGTTTGCTAAGGCTCACAGCTTTTCCCCCAGCTCCCGGGTGGGTCATTGGCAGACATCCTTCAAAGGAGATGGGGGTGGGGTATTCCTGCTGAGAGATGCATCTGCACAAAGCACCACATTTTCCCATCAAAGCCCTGGAGAGAAAAAGAATCGCCGCTCAGCATTTGGTTGGTTTTCAGGTGCACGTGGAAAAACGCATCCAGCAGCATCGGGTCAGGAAAAGCCGATTCTGAGTGGAAGCGAATGCAGGGGCTAGCGCGGGTCATAGACTGCGGGCTGGGGGCGGGGCCGGCCACACAAGCGGAGAGCAGCCCAGGCCCAAGATCGGAGGGTTAGGAAATGTGACCCTGGCGACCCCAAACGCCCCCGCCTCCCTTGCTCACTGCAGCTCCACCTGCGCGAGGAAGCGCGCGGAGCCGCTGGTGGAGGCGATGGCCAGCCCCGCGCCCTTAGTAGCCTCTATTAGTCACCAAATGGTGGCTCTGCAGACCCTGCAGCTGCTGCAGCAGGAATGGGGCTGGGGGGACGGGCCAGGCGCCACCGGGGGTTCGCGCGACCCGGACCACGTGTCCGCCGCCCCTGTCCGATGCTCAGGCCATGGGCGAGCCCTGCTGGGGCCAGAACGTGAGGTGGGGGGCGGAACCGTGGGATCCGGGGCTCGGGCGAGGACCCCCGAAGCAGGGATGGTGCGGGGCGCCGAGGGGGGCGCCGAGCTGCTCCTCCTCCCGCGGGACCGCAGGCCCTGCACCCTGGCGAGGATGGCGATGCGCAGCGCGCTGGCCCGCGTGGTAGACTCGACCTCCGAGCTGGTCAGCGTGGAGCAGACGCTGCTGGGGCCCCTGCAGCAAGAGCGATCCTTTCCCATTCACCTGAAGGTGAGTCTGACCCCCGTGCAGAGCCAGGGGTCTGGGACTCCGGAGGGCACCAGGTGGGGCCACGCAACCCCAGACGAGCTGTGCAGCTTCACTGCGTCCCAGGGGGAGGTGCACTGGGGGCCTGGGACACGCTGGAGCCTCAGCATCCAGGGGTAGAGGAGCTCTAGACCTGCCTGGGGTCAGCTTGGAAGACAGCCAATGTGAGGCCTTAGCAAAATCTACCTGGGGCTTCCTTTTACCCTTGCATTAATCAGGGCCCTTTCCACAGGTCTGGGGCAAGAGAAAGCTGCTCCAGCTGGTTCCCCAATGAGCATCCCCTCCCTTCAGAACCTTCAGTGCATTACTGGAGTCCCCTTTGCCCTTCTGTGATGAAATCAGGCACGTTTATTTAAAGTTCCTTCACGCTCATGAATCACCGTTATTATTGCATAAATCCATTGCCCCAAGGAGCCAGGGGTCTTAGAAAGGCAGCCGAAATTCTCATAAGCCCAGTGAGAGCCGGGTGGGTCCTAGGTGTTGAAGCGTGAATACTAAACTAAACTCTTGTTAAGTCACCCAGCTCATATTTGTAGAGCGTGGTTTCCTCCGAATACCTAACGAAGTTGGCCACGTTAGCCATGGAACCCAGTAGCCTCCTAATAGATTGAAGGGAAAGGTGGAAATCTAGTGTGGGGAGTGGTGTTGGAGGGGGTCCCTGTTACAATGCTTGGAGTGCTGTTAGCTCACCTAACTGATTTAAGGTCACAGATGTTTTTGAAGGGTTGTGGTTGGGAGCATTGTTTTGCTCATTGCATTGGGAGTGTGATAGAAAGAAGTCGGGGAAGGGGTGATGATGATCGAAAGAGTTCTTCTTGCCCAGTGACAGGCCAAAGTCTGGGAAAGTTGCTGTCTACTAAACTGCAGCATACACTGCAAAGGTTTTGCTTAAAACTGAATACACCCAGACACTGTTGCTCTACTGAGTCTGCACTCCCCACACAGAGTGCTGCTCACTCTTGGTGGTTAAAGAATTCTTGTGCATCGTAAAGTGTTCCCAGCATCCCTGGCCTCTCCCCAGAAGATACTGACTACTCTAACTACTCCTTCAATTTCAATCCCCTAAGTGGATACCCTGGACATTGCTAAATGGACATGGGGATAGATGCCTTCTAAACTTACCTGAGCCAGTTAAAAAATACAGCTGTGTTTCACTTGATGGTAACCTTTGGTATCACCAAGAAATTTTAAAAATCCTGTCCATTAAAGTGTGATACACCATTGACTGTGAGTTGCATCCTAACTTCTGGGATTTTTTTTTTTTTTTTGTAAGTGTCCTAAAATGTGTGTCTTAGAGTTGATGACCTAGGAAGTTTGATGTGACAATAGGAAACCACACAGGATGGACAGCCAATAGAGAGTCTAAGTGATCCTGGAAGGTGTTTGCTCAGCTATTAAAGGGAAAATGTATTACAGGGAACACTGTGTGGTCCAAGACCCTAGAGCATTGAGAAGGCCTGAGGCCAGGTGCAAGAGCAGGTGTGTGTATACATATGTCTGTGTGTATAATACAAAATTATCCAATACGGAAGAAGACTAAAAAAAAAAAAAATGATGCAGGCCTAATGGGAAAGGCCTGTGCATCGCACCAAGGCCTTTAGCTTGTGGGTAGTTCAACTCCAGAAGCTCAGACAAGTCTGAGAATGCTTGGTTTCTGTGTGGGAGTGAGGTCACAAGACAGTTGTCTGTGGGCCCAGCTTGGTGGCAATGGAGTCAAGCTGGTGCTCCCTGTCCTGGAGGCAGCCCCTATAACTAGTACCATTTTATTATGATGTAGCCCCTGTAACTAATGCCATTTTATTGTTGATACATTTATACTGCATCAGCCTCTTGGTCTTTTCTGATTAACTTTGGGTCCTAACCATTTTCCATCCATAAGTTGTCTTTCTCCACCTGCTCTGCTCCTTTTCTGAGAAAACTAGAGCCATCTCTTGTACTCAACAGTCCAGTTCCCAGTCTTCTGGGTTCTTGTCTCAGATAAATGCTGCTGTCCTGCCTTGGCTCCCCCTGTAAATTCACTGGAAGAAACTTCTTATTGCCCCCAAGCCTTTTCCATCAGCTCTGTCCTCTTTCTATTTTCCCTGGTCTCCTCTCTGCCCACTCTGCCCAGGCCTTGGCTACTCTCACTCTCTCCCTCATCGCCACATTTTCTTGAGTCACACAAGTTCTTCCTTTGCTCGTCGCACCAACTTCTGCAGGCTTTTGTGTGTGTTGCTGTCACTTGCCCAGAATATCCAGCCATGCTTGGGACAAACAGCTCTGCTATTTCCTCCAGCAGTCTGTTCTTCACCTGAGTGCAAGGGTCCCTGAGAACAACCTGTGCTTTCACAAGGGAGAGAAGTGCAGGCCAGTCTGGCTCCCTTGCCAGCATCTTGGAAGCGTGCCTGGTTTGTTGTCGGGAGAAAAGGTAATACATTTATTGGGTTTCTAGATTTATGATGACACAGTACTTAGTCTGGAGGGCCAGATGCTGTTTGACCTTTCTGGGTGGCTGGCTGTATGGATGTGGCTGCATTAAATGCTTGTGTTTATTCAGATGATTCGGAAGAGTGTTTTTCTGTTATTCTAAATTAGGAATGTGCTGGCTTGCTTTATACCACCGAATGGTTTCGGGAAGACTTCTACTAATGGAAATAACACTTATATCTCTTTGGGGATATTATTTGCCATGGAAGATGGGTAGGAAGACTCCTGTGACTTGAAGCCTACAGCCCAGATGACTAGGAATGGGGACCCTATGGGATGTACAGCACTGAACAGCACCGTGATTGAATCTCATGGAGCATTTTCAACCTTCCTCTGCCAATCCCTACTACAGACCCTTGGGAAACTTCTTTTGTCTTCCTGTCCTCCAGTCTCCTCATCTATAAAGTGGGTATGGTGAGATCTTACCTAAAGAGTTACTGAGACAATTTACATAAAGACTCGGTCAGTGGCTCCTTCATTGTAAATCACCATACACTTGAAGTATAATCATTGCAATCATTATTATTATTATTATTATTATAGAACTATTACTCTTGTGAGTTTCATTCTTAATATTAGTGAGTCTGACCCATGAACTCTTACTTCTCTGTTTCTGTGGACAAAAGCAGAATTAGGATATTTCAGAAACTTAGAAAACCTCAACTCTGCATGTCTGAAAAGTGACACAGCAGTATCAGAGTTGATTAACTCACTGATCAGTAAACCCCCTGCTGGGTAAGGAAGGGAAGTCTCAGGCATGAAGGCAGAGATCCCATTAGTAATTTTGCAGAATCAGTTAATGAAGCCAACACTTACTATTCTTTTCAAGACTTAGAAATTACTGGTGCAAAAAGCCATGGGCTTCCTAGTGGTAGATGCAAAATGTTGAGCAGTAGTGATGCTTGTTAAATTGGATATAGAAGATTGGGTTAATAAACAAGGGCTGAAAAATGAGGCTCCAAGGAACTGAAGGCCTTGCCCAAGATCCTGCAGCTAAGAAAGGATGACTGTAGTTTTGATTTGGACCAAAGTTTTGGCATCCTCAAAGGCTCAGGTACTGGTGGACTCAGTTCCCAAGGTTTATGTTGGTGGATTAAAGCTGGAAACTTGACCTAATTATCATCTGTGGAGGTAGGCCTCATGGGAGGATATTAGATCAGGGGGGTGTACCCTCAGAAGGGTAAGAGACTTGGCAGTTTAAGCTGCTTGGCCTCTCTCTCTCTCTGTCTTTGTTTACTGTCTTGCTGGGAAATTCTCACTCTACATACACACACACATACACACACATCCTATACCCTCATCAAACATAAGGCTAGAGGAGACACCCTAAGTTGGACTGTGAATCTCCACAAACTATTAGTTAAGAAGCCCTTTCCCTTACAAGTTAGTTTCTCTCGGGCATTTTAGTTACCACAGCAAAAAGCTGACTAAAGCAAGTTTCCTAAACCTACTGCTGAAGGAATGTGCACAGATGTGAGCTGTATGCATGTATGGCCATGGTTGCATATGCTGTGCACTGTCTATGCCTGGGCTATAGCAGGCACATTGTAGATGTGATGTGCTAACTTGGCTCAGCTGCTACAACAGACGGCACAGACCTGATGTATTAAAACAGTAAACACTTATTCTGGAGGTTCAAGTCCAAGATCAAGGTGCTAAGGAGTTTGATTTGTAGTAAGGGCTCCCCTCCCTTCTTGGGTTGTAGCAACAGCCTTTTTCACTGTGTCCTTCCATGGTCTCTCTTCAGTGCATACAAAGACACACTTGGGGGTGGAGGGGAATAGATGAGCATTCTAGCATTTTAAAACACCACCAGTGCTGTAAGATTACAGTCTGTTGTGGTTCCCAAGGGCCTCTGTGTTGAGAGCTTGGTTCTCAGGGTTACCATATTGGAAAGCCGGAATCTTTTTTTTTTTTTATTTTAACAGGTGGGGTTTCATGGGGGGGTCCTTAGTGAACTGGGAGCTCAGTTCTCAAAAGGGATTAAGAAATTTCTCATTCAACCCTGTGATGTCCCCAAGAGGCTTGTTACAAAAGAAGCAAATTTGTTTCCTCCCACGCTGTCTGTCTTCTCTTTGTCTGCCTCACCCTGTGGACTTCACTGAGCACACATTCTCACCAGCCATACTGGGGCCTTTCCTAGAACCTGCACTGTGATGTTGGGACCTTCTGTCTCCAAAACTGTGAACTCCACTAACCTCCTGTTTATGAGTTAGCTGCCTCCGGTGTTGAAAAGCTGACTAATATGAGGCCTCACTCTTACGACCACATTTCCCCTTAATTCCCTCCCTAAATCTGAGTCCTAAATATAATCAAGTGAGAGCAGTGGTGGTGATTTCCTGCTAAGGGCCATTTGGATATTGATAACATCATTCTCAAGCACACAAAATTATTGACTTTGAAATCAGGCTACCATAGATTTATTGAATTTTGAGTATTGCCTCTAGTTGCCTTGTCAGGGTGACTCTTACAGTCTCCACCTGTGCCTTCAAGATTAG